CCCTCTAGGTGATAGTTCTTGATTACTTTTTGATAAATAATTCGTTCTTATTACGAAATAGGAGCACTATTTATCAATCAATCAATTTTTGAGGCGAAATACCCAAAAAGAAGTTTGTAAAAAAATGAATCCGCCTTAACAATATAGAACTTATCTGCAATTTTAAATATTGCACGACTTGAACGTTTAATGAGGCACAATTATTAGAACTACTACTCAAAAATAAAACCTGTTGAAAACCATCCAGGAATAAAGATGTGTGCAAGACGAACTTACAAAACTCAGTTTACTTTCACGTGTTTACCTGTACATAACGATCTGTCAGTGTGTATGTAATATATACCTTTTTGTTGCTGTAAGCATCTAAATTAATGTTAATTTATATCTGGCATGTTTCAGTACTGTTTCGGAATCCAGATCATATGACGAAACGACCATACCTCCTCCAATGAAGTCCTTCACCAGGAGTGAATATGACACAAAATCATTCAAGTCACTGAACCAAAATGATGTGAGTTTATACACATTTAATACAAAAATGAATGTTAGTCAAAAAGAAGAATCATATTTTAACATGATTTCTAATTACTTAGGAGGCAAATACAATGGCTGAGCGCGATTTGGGATCGACGTTTTTGCTACCACATACCCATTTGTATAAACCAGACAGGGTAAGCATGTTGAATTAGAAGCATTCTCTCTATTGAAATATTTTTTTTCTTTTTCAGGGGTCAGATATATCGGGTTTTGAATCTCTATAACAACATATGTAGAGTAGCAGAAACACGCTCAAAATGTCCCATGCGATTGTCAATGTGCCTTACTTATTATATTAGTACTTATAATTTTACTGCTAATTCTTAACAAATATGAATAAAAGATGTTGTAGCTAAGATACAATATTGTCGATCAAAATTGTTAATGATTAAGAAAAACTATACTGGCCATAATTTATTTAAAACCCCTGTATATAATTTATCGTAAAAATTCGACGTTTTCCAGTTAGACTGTGCATTGCATCAGAAATCGACAGGATGCTGCAAAGTTAAAAAATCTGTTTTTGTATACAAATGTTTTACAGCATCGCGTCGATATAGCAATGCACGTGAATAATGTGTGACTGTATATATTTTTGTGTGATATAAGCGTAAGTGTGTTTATTATAAATGTTTTATTATTACATCTATTTATATAATAAATCGATTAATTTGGTATTAAATAAAGTTTATGAATTTTGTATATTTTAAATAACATACAGAATAGAAACATGTTTTTATATATCGCATTTAACAACAAACAGATATATTTAGTGCCAAAAAATTAAAATAGCAAGTTCGCCTCGAAGGCCTAAGGTTTTAATAAGATATTTTTGTTGTATGTACTAATGTGTCTACGATGTTTACAAATATAAATGTTATCTTCATTATTGTTTATTTGTTGTTTTTAGAACAAACTCAGATATTTCAGCAAATAGAAACAAACGACATCTGATTCTTGAACGGTATTCTTAGCGTAAATAGTGACGGTGGAATTTACAAGATTATCTGTAAGCTAAATGTGTAAATAAAATGCAAAATTCCAACTGAAAAACATGGGGCAAATGGATAAAAATGTGTATACTTCATTACCTGTAGTTGCCAAAAAATAATGTAATGACTTATTGAATACAGAAGAATATTGCAAGAGGATATTTTCCTGAATTTCTTGTATTCGTTCAAAGTTTTGTTAGAAAATATTAATTGCCGTTTATTTTGGCCGTACCAACTACCAAAAATTGGGTAAAAAAAATAGACAAACGATAAAAACATGTTAGTTGCACACCAATCAACGACCGATGAACGGAATAAAGGACAGGTTTAGGTATACTAAAATATTATGAATTATAATATATCACCAAACAAAAAATAAACAAATTGTCGAATACTTAAATAAATTGATTTTATTCCTTAAAACATAATTTGGTAATACACCATTGCAAATATTATGAAGCAAAACAAAACCACAATAAGTATTTTAAACAATAAGATCGTTAAACATTATTTCAACTAACCTCAACACTGCAAATATAAAACAAAAATTAAACACTTTGGCAAATATTACCGAGCGGAAGTTTTTTTTGGCTGATTAATTTATGAAAATTTGAAGATAATACAAAGACCCATACAAGTATCATACTTAAGAGTTAACTACCCTAGTAACCCTGGTAAATGCTCGAACATGCACACTTATTTCTATAAAAATATCTTGATTGACAATCATAATACCTGAGAAGGAAAGGCATCCATGGTGCTTTAGAATTTCAAGAGTATAAATGATCTGTTATACTACCTTCAAATTTGTCTAAAGTGTTAACATATATGGACACACAATAAATAGGCAGAATAATACGTATTGATTACATTTAGGAGTAATCGTTATTAAAAAATGTCGAAAATTTGATGTAAATAACTACAGGTATAATGCCTATAAAAATTGGTAAAAAGGCTAGCGGTAAAACTTATTCTAATATTGTTGATTTTAATACTTTTGATCACCTATTGCTTTATTTTGCCACCAAATCTGAAATCATCAAAGCATGCATTTAATGACAAAAATATGTAGTTGGTTGATTCTGTCTTTTCCTACTAGGAGCAGTTTTTCAAATATTGCAGTTGGTTTGCTCTTGATTCCAAGTTTCTACGCTTAGCGTTTTTTGATACGAAATAATTCTAACTCCATAATAGAACTTTTATTTCAACTGGCCTATTTATATTTTAACGGAAAAATAGATTGGCTTAATATAGGAATTTTAAATATTACGAAAATTATCATGAAAATTGAAATATTGAAATTGAAAAATTGAAAATACCAGAATTAGAATAATCACGCAATATTTCAAAATTAGGTATAAAATCAAGATTAGGTCAAAAATCTGCGTTCTCTCAGGGGCCTTAAAGTATTGTTCCAGTGAAAAAAAATCATTCAAACGATGGTCAATAGCTTGAACTAGATTGCAGTTATAAACATTCAACAATTTAAAAAAAATTATATACTAATCTTACCTAAAAAAAGCATCAAAGCAGAATATCGTCTAGTCCTTCCAGTCCTTCTTGATCTCGAAGGTCCATTCCCATTTCAAGTGTTCATTCTTGTCATCGTCAGTGAATAGAGAATGAACGGTGTAGGAACCTCGAGCCAACATACCGGAAGGCGCATCTTCTGCAGGTGTAGTGTAGGATTGGATTTCGGTTTTAGGGGCGTAAGAACCAACCATATGGGTCATTTTATCGACTGGAAAAATCAATTATTTTAATGTATTATAAAAGTTTTAAAAACTCTATTATTTGCTGTAACATCTCTATATAATCAAGAGCAAAAATACTTCTAAAACAATTCTCCAAAATATTTACAAATATGTTTAGATTGAATGGCTTTGGCATTTTAAGAAAGTTACTTATTTGTATAAATAATTATTATTTGTATCTAGATATATTCCAACATTCAACTGCATGTATTTTCGAAACAACCAAAACTATTTGGTGTTGGTACACGTGATAAATTATACAGTAATCGCGCTTCGATGAATATTAAAAGTTATCGCATTTCGGGCGTCTTTGTGAATCATACTGAGGCAGGTCTTTATTTGTACATGCCATGTACTTAATAAACAACGCACTTATCACAGCAAATGATAAGAATTTCAAATGACGAGATAAGGAATCTATGCAAATAATTTATTTTTATCCAAATCGAATTTCATTTTCCAATGCATTTTTTAACTTTACTCGTTTAGCAACTGCCGAATGTGATTGAATCATCGTCTTAGGAGCGATTTCATTAAATTAAGTAAAAACGTAGTAGTACTAGCAAAGAGACTGTTACTAATTGATGCATAATAAAATGCAAGGTCCTAACCAATAATTCAAATAATTAAGTGCAGAAATACACCGTAATTACCTGTTATACCCATTTTACTAGTTTTCTGTACATATTTCAGTCCATGTACAATTTCCCGCTGCACAAAGAACTCAATCCTGATCTTGTAAGAAACACCTTCTTTAATGACAAAAGTTTCTTGTTTCAATCTCGAAATATCGCCTGTTAGATCCAAAGATAATTCGGGCCTATCCACGGGAATTAATACTAATCTCTTCACAATCACTTTTTTTGGATTGTCCGGTTCTGAAAAAAAATGTTAAATTAAGTAAGAAATAAAACTAGTTATTACGCCCGATCTTTACAAGGAAGGAAAATTGATAAGTTTGCACTTTGATCCGTGTAAATCCAATTAGGTAATGGATTTTTTCATTAGAAAATGGTCAGCACACTTACCCACAATAATGGGACCAATTTGCGCTTGTCCCAGTAATGTCTCCTTGTATTTCCGCAAACTTTCATCCTCTTGATCGATCTCCAGAAGCTCTGAAATCGTTTTTTCAGGAGGCGGCTTATAGTTTGACTCTGGCTCTTTGTCCACGTCCTCAGGAGTGGTGACTTGCTGCTCCTCAATGTCTGCCATCTTATTAATTCACCACCTGCGATAAATTTATTTCCTACTGTATTGAATAATTGAAAATGTACGGATGAGCGTCTGTTTGATTGTTGTCTTTTGATGGGCAGTAAATTTCAGACACATGCGCAGGTATAAACAATTTAATTATAAACTGAATAATATGATTGAATTAACCGTGATTTTTTTTCGTTTTGATAATATGCGAGAAATTGTTAATAATTTAAAACTTCCGACTTCGGCCTGCTTCCTAACTTGATATCAGGGAAAAATGATTAAGCGCATTGCTGTAACTGAGATTGCTTGCGGTTTGACGCCCCTCATTAGTTTAACTATAAAATATAAAATCTAGTCAAATGTACTTTATGTGTCCTGTAATGTTGCGTCATAATAGAATAGTTTTAAGGCTCTATTTTTTATTATAGATTCAAAACGTTTCGAATGCAAGAATTAAAAAATTTAATCAACCATGCGCATTCAGTAAAAACTTTGAAGAATTCGGTCGAAATGGTGGTTGATATCCATCACTCCAATCACAGCGAATTATTTTGCAATAAATAAGCACAAAGCGATTTTGGTTATTTTGGGTAATATTAGAATCTAAAAACAAAAATTTCTTTAAACAGTGTTATTGGAACTTTAAAAAAAGTTTTTAACACATTTTAGAACCCCGAACGTACCGGTCGAGACAGATTCTCCTTTACTTCCAAAATGTTTGTCCTCCAAAGTCGGGAGAAAATTTAAGGGAAAAGGCCCAATTTTTTTATAATCAAACGTCCGATAACAGAAATTTTAAAGATAGTGCTGGAAGTTGATAAATGTTAAATCCGATATGGACAACTATATCCATCACAGGCGAACAATTATTCAGTGACGACCAAACCGTAGAGCAATTCAAAGAACTGCTTCGAACAAAAAGTTGGGGAAATGAAATTGTTCAATCTGAGGCATCAGACCCAAGAAGAAAAATGAGCAAGGAGACAATTACATTGTTGAAATTGTTAGCATTAGGCATATCTATAAAAGTATACAGATTTTGTGCCTGCAGTTCGTAAAAAAAAGGTGCGAGAGCTGAATTTACATGCAAAGGCTCTTCTAATGTTAGGCAGAAATGATTGCAATATTTTTGCCACCTACTGGGCAACCCATGGATCAACATGGGATTCAAACAAATAAATTGCGTTACAGAATTGGATTGCTAAACCAAATTGGCAGGAATTTTATATATTAGGAAGCTATTAATTGAAACGGATGAAGACGTAGAGTCCAACGTATTTCTCACAGAGAGGCAGTCAAAGATGTCGAGATATGCATAAAATGGGCCTTGGAAAATCTTGAATCGGAGCAACATATTTTAGCTTTAAAAGAAAGGAAAAAATGGGCTTTTAAGGCAGAGCAAAGAGATCCTAGACCACTAAAGTCACTATTTTTTATATCGACTTATTATGTATTATGTATGTAATACATACAGTACACAGTTGCTCTTTTAATGTATGCATATCTTTTACCTAAGAAATTTTCAATTTAGTAAACAATTACAGTAAAAATAAAGAAATTTTAATAAATGTAACATTGAAAAAAATTGCGAATCCGAACAATTCGAAAATCCAAATTTGCCCTTCCAATAATTAGTCCGAATTATCGAGGTTATACTGTATTAAGATAATCCAAATAATTCAGAAGAAAAGAAAGAAAAGTAAACATTCTGAATAATCTACAGACGCAAAGTGAAAGTAAGGAAAAGTGAAAAATTAATTTTTGAAGCGGAAAAATAAACGACAACGACGATCAAACTTCTATTATTTTTACACAATAAATCAATGCTTAACGGATTAGTTTTTTGTTGTCAGACAGCTTGTCTATAGACCTATATGGTCAAAAACCAGAGCTATAAAAGAAAACTTAACGCAAATATAAACGTTATTGTCATTTCATACATCGCAGACCTGTTCCTATTCATTTTTCCATGAAACATTTGGGAATACAAATAGCAAGGAAATGTAAAGTATTCTATTTTTAAATGAGCAATAAATCCTCTGGAATGAGTCCATACTCTCGGTAAACATATTAGATTGTTATCGATATCCAAACTGGTGATAAATGTTTTTAACTGAGCATAAATCGATGCATTTCAGTCAATAATATTAATCCCTGCTTGAGATAATAAGCAGCTAATGCGGTTTCATGCGGGAGCTAGTTGGGTATATCCAGAAACCCCTTAATAGAGGATAATATAATCAATATAACCTTATAAGCAATGAAATTTACATATTTATGATATTCCAAGTATGGTCACTTACCTCACAAACAGCGGAAAACTGGATATTCCGATAAAAGGCACTAAATTTCAATCCAGAATCAATCTTTGAAAACTCCTGCAAACTGTGGGTGTATGCCCCTTGCTATCACACTAGCACTGCGCAAAATCGACAATAAACAAATGCTTAGCCATTGTTCCTACTATAGATAAATCAAATGAACTATTCTGGATAAATGTGGATTAACATTTGGCAACATGGAACTGTGTGCCGTGACATTCCAGATTATTTCTCGTATAAACAATCAAAATAATTTTTTAAAAAATTAACAGTTATTTTGCATTAAATTTTGTAGAGTATCTTTTCTGCTTTGGGTAAAATTTGATAGCCTTGCGAAGAACATAAAAGGTTAGCAAAAAAATTTAACATTGCGCATTAGACAATAAGATAATAAAAATAGAAATCGTGTATATTTACAAAGTGCAAAAGGCAAAGTGATATAAGGCCTGATTATGTACAAATGGCTTTAATTGCTTCGAAACTCAATTCCCTTCGTATCTGTCCATTAAAAATACAAAATAATGTAGTAGTTCATTATAGCAAGTTTTTTCATGAAAAAGAATACAAGGTAACATTTAAAATATCTTTACAGAATTAACACTACAAAACAATTTATAGAAATGCTTTAAAACCCTTGAAATTGACGAGAGAAGTGATCAGGAACAGATTCGAATCGCTTATCTGCAACTGGTAAAGAGATTCCATCCAGATAGTGGTACAGAAGAAGCCAATGCTGATAAATTCCATGAAGTATGTTAAAAGCATGTACAAGATAAACTAAATGTGAAAGTTAAATTCTATTTAGATTGACAATGCCTTTAGAACACTCATGCACAGAAAATCCAAAGAAGTGGATGTTGTTGATGAAGCTATTGTACAAGAACAGGACATTAAGGTACTAATAGGACGGTTTATATAGTCCGTATCATTTGAATAGTCCTTTTGAATCCTGAATTCTAGAATAAAATGTTCGCTTCACTTGTAACAAAAAGCTACAAATTGATCACTGCACTTTCATGCTAACTCTATGTTGCACCAGAAAAATGCTACAATTCTTTATAATGCGAATGTTTTTGAGAGGTAATTCTAAGAGTAAAATTAATTCAAAATGTTATTTTAACCATACCCCAAAAATTGTTTTCTAAAGGGGATGGAACCGAGAAGCCTCAAGATATATTTCTTACAGCATTTCCTAAAAACCCTCGGCTAGGAATTCGCGTATTTATAGTTAAAGGCGTCATATACAAAAGACCCTTTCCTATGCAAATATTGCTTAGTTTTTTGGTTTGAAATATTTTAAAATTTGTTTAATCAAAGTACGGAATTGCAAAGATGTTTACGTATAAAAACTTGCACCATTGCACCAATTAAAACCATTTGCACAGAGCGTTTTCACTCACCAATAAACCATTACAGGGGCATTGAAATGAGCAATCCAAGATTCCTAGATTTAAGTAAGTAGTTAATAATTTCAATAAATTGTTGTCTGAGTAAATATGGTATTTCATTCACTTACCTTTATTAATTAACGTCGATTTTAGCACACAGCTCCTCAACATAGGCAATATTTGAGCTATGGTGGAGTGGGATCAGGAAATCCCTATCAAAGAGAAAAACAGTATACAAAAATGAGAGCCATGCAAGCGTCTGAAAACCTGTACAATCATCGCATGGGAAAAGTGTCCGCTGGTGAACATGCTTTAATGGACAAAATGCCTCTAAAACACAAAATCAAAACAAAGTAAAGTTATATAGTAGGATTATTCATATATGTTTTCTTGCATGATTTTATGCGTACCTCTGGCAGCTTTCTCGTAGACATGGAAAATGCCTTGAAAACAAAATATTTTAGCGCCACAATAAAGTATTTTCACTGTGATTTTTATAAGTTTAAAATATTAATTGTTATACGGTGTTATGTGCATATAGTTTCAATTGTTTCTCAGTTTTTTTTCCTTGATAACTTCACAGTGTTGGAAGATTTTTAACTCTTAACATTAAAAGCAACGATTTCAAATTCAAACTGTTAAACTTAGCAGAAACAACATACTTATATTTAGCGCGCATCCGCCGTAAAAAACAGAAAACTGTTTTACTTATTTCTCTCGAAAACGGTAGATTGCAAAACAAAACGTAAAAATCGATGGTATATTTTAAGGAACCACACCGCATCAATTTCAGAAGGATTTTTTTCCTTTTGTCTCTGCAGCACTGCACGATACTAATCCTAACGTGATCTAGATTCCAAAATTCAGTCTCAAATATCAGAAAGATGAGATCGCAAGGGTGACAAAAAACTAGGAAAATCTTGCAATGTTTACCAAAAATTACAAACTTTTAGTCATAAAATACATGCCTCCTGTCGATTTTACATAATAATCATAAACACTCTGTATATGTATAATAAAGATAAATTTGTGCTTTTTCAGATACGGATTCGACAGGTTGGTAGAAGATTTAATACAAGAGTCGATGTCACGTGGAGAGTTCAGTAATTTAAAAAATAGTGGAAAACCATTACCAGATCATCAAAATAGAAATCCCTACGTAGATTTTACAACCCACAAGTTAAATGAGGTAAGCAATTGCAAATAGGTAAGAAAAGCTTTCATGGCTATTCTATAGGTTCTAATTGAAAATGGGTTTACTCCTGAATGGATTTTACTCCAAAAGGAAATTCGTGAGGAAGCTACGTCGCTCCGAAAAAGCTTATTTTCGGAAAGGCAGTATTTTGGTTCTTATCCTCTTTCAGTGGAGGACAATATTGAATGGAGTGAAAAAGTATACAACTATAAACAAGTAGTCGATCAACTAAATAAGAAAATAGCTAAATTCAATTTAGTTGTGCCCGTTTTGAATAAGCAAATGATACAAATCAGTTTAGAAAGAGAAGCTCAACGGGTTATGGTGATAGGAAAGGGTTACGAAGACTTACGACATTCCGACCAGAGACCGACGAAATATAAAAAAGAACTCAAACAACCTGCTGCTAACAGTATAAACATATTTGGTTTGCTAGAGTATATGTTTAAGACAAAATGACTGAACATTATTACGTGTTTCTCTTATTCCAACCACCTGATAAAAATAACCAGACATTTGATCTAGGTTAACTTTAATCATTATTACCTAAATATTTTACAATAAATTCTCAAATTTGTTTACCGAGTTTTACTAAAATATGTACAAAACTATTCATATAAACAGGCAGTAACGGAACTATAATGTTCCGCAGAATGGTTAAGAAGGGTTCAATAGAAAACGATTCCAAATAATGACTTCGAGAACAAAATAGCGCAAAAAGTAAAATATATCCAGTAAATGTATATGAAGCCTGAAGCTTTTGATTAGAGCGCTAACTTGGACATTTAATAAACGTAAGTGATGATAAATGTTAGTGATAAATTATATAAATTCATCTTATCTTAGACATTAAATGTCATGCTGTACTAAAATAATGTCTATGTATTATCATTGCATTCCCAATGTTTAATTGTGCAAAAGCTACTTCGACTCCTAAAAAAATATAAAATTCTCAGTAGATGAACAGCTTAGCTTTTTACAAGACAATCACACTATCCATATAACGCTTAAATAGAACAAATCATATAATAACAATCCAACCCAAATCCGCTCTTTAAATCAAGGAAAAAGAAATGAGGCTTTTTAAACTCAACAAACCACGTGTGCTAGTTCAAGTTTACTAAAGAAATAATTGGGTAAAGTTGAATGGTCTTTAAAATTAAAGGAAAAATCATTTTACTTATCTACATAACAAAAAATAAATACAGTTTTTACTATCTTCGAGCATTTTTAAAACCTTTAGTTCCATCAGGTCCCTTTGGCATTCTTACTACATTACATATCTCTGGATGTTTGGACTTTACTATAGATAGCCTGAAAAGACATAGTCATTATATATTTACAATTATATAATATACTGCATTTATCTATTTATTACATTGCAAATTTTACTTCATTAAAAAAATAAACAATGAAATGATGGATGGCAAATAAGTTAGTTTAGAAATAATATAGTACACAAGTAACATTGTACACAGTAAACATTGTCTTGCTAAATGCAATGATCCCAATTTATTCTTATCATGGGCATTTTATGGGTGATATTTCTAGCTTCTTAACACAACTTAAAGCATTCGTCCAGCCTTTTGTTAATTATTCATCACAGGGTATTTGATTACAACATTCTGTACATTGAAAACTCTTGTTAAAATCATTCAAAAATCCTCCTGAAGTTTAGCTAAGTACTTAAATAATACTGTAAAATTTATAGTCGTTTTTGAATTTTGATCCGTAATACCAAAAGAAATTTGCTGGCTGTTTTAGGTAAAATATGAACTAATGATGCTCTATTAAAAAATTATTACCTTTCTTCTGGTTTGTCTGAACTAGCTTCTCCTAATATTCTTAATCTAGCCTCGGCATATTCCTGTTCTCGTTGTTGCAAAGTCTTTTTCGGTACAGCTTTCTTGATGTCTGTCGAAAGCTGATTCTTTTTCATCGGCCTCTTCAGTATCTTAACTGCAGGCTCAGTAGGTACATATTGAGATCTTAATGCATCATCACCTGTTAAAGTCACTTTGATTGGACCACTTTCTATGATACCATTTATACTAAAATAAATTGGTACTAAAAAAATAATATACCCAAAAGTTAAAAAAGAAAGAAATCGATAGTTTCAGCATGCTTTTTCATGTGGTCAGAAGCTAAATTACATATTGAAGCAAATTGCTGTCTTTAAGAAATTATGAAATAAAAAAATGTAAGTAGGTTAACAAGCAAATTGTACATACCGTTTGTCCTCTAAACTGGGCATTATTAATTCTTTAAATTTTCTATCAAGAACCTAAAAATTAAAAAATAATACTTTCTAATAACCTAAAAACTCAATTTTTTATTTAGATAGAACGAAATTTTCTGTGAAGATTGGATAATAATCAAGAACCATTGAAGAATGAAAAATGGGATCTTACATCAGTCTCATCAATTTCTTCCCAATTTTCTATTTCTAAAAATTCATCCTGCTGTTTAGCAGCCATAGTTGGACCCATTTGTCATGCACATGTCAAAAACTTTCCAAATATTTACGAATGATCTTTTTCAATCTGGAACAACATTATCAACTTGGACAAATGATCATTTAGCTGAAGTCCATGTTAGATTTTAGGCAAATAAACAACCAAAACGTAACTAACTAGAAAATTGAAAATTGGACAATAAAATGGGAGATTTTGGCAAATCTTCAAATAACTGTGCAGTTTGTTATGTGCCAAAACTGCCAAAATGACAATAACAGGGGCACGTTCTGAAATAAACGCACATGCTTATTCGCTCATGAATATCAAAGTGCGTGCATTGTGTGCACATTTATTCACAGCACGAAATAATATGTTTCTGTGTTAAACGCGTTATTTTAATATTATTAAAGTACATTGAATTGGTTTCCTTCAAATTCTTTACTTCCTGCGCTTTTCTCGTATTTCTTTTAACAAGAAAGCAATTAATAATGTTATATAATCAAAGCAATAATAAAAGCGACAGTGATGATTAATTTAAAATTTTCAAGAAATTATCTAGGAATTCAAAGCATATATTTCTAAATCAAGACAAAAAACCCACCTTATTCCTGAATTTTGATCTCTTCTCTTCGCACTCTGCTTTGGAGTTCCATGAACATCCGAAAAAACATATTTTCACTCACCGATCGCACTCACCGCAGTAGTTCAAATACCCCATTTCGAAAAACGTTCAACTGGCAATGTTGTCAGGATTTTTAACTTTTTGGTTTATTTTTATAATTAAAAGTACTGCAATTTATTTATAAATCATAAACAACTCAAAGTTTCAAAAAATTATTGTTAATTTATTATAAGTAATATTATAATTATAAAACTTATATATTATAAAACGTATAAACCATTAGTCATAAATGACGGACAATAAAAGCTATAACAAAACTAGAAAAATTCATAAAATTGAACCGGAAAAAATATCACACAAGCTGATGAAAGTGAGAGCATTTTTAAGTGACTTGAAAAACAAAAGTTATGCTTAAGAGAACAATAAGAATAAGACTTACGCGTTTACAACACAGTTAGCAATAAAGAAATATGAAAATATATCTTAAATTCATCAGATGTAAACCTAGGAACGCCTGGATTATTGTCACAGTTTAAAAACTTCCGAGAGTCCTTTTCGTATACTTTTATTCTCTGGTGCCTAAAAGGAAATCAGACATTAATATATAGTATTGAAAATATTCCATTTAAAATTAGTGTATTGCATACAAAATCTATATTTTTAGCTAGACATCAAGACTTGAATGTTCATTATCGAAATTAAACTTTGTAATAAAATTGAAAAATTATAGGTTACAAAAAATTGTTAAAACTAATTATTTATGGTAGATCTAAAGTTATATCTTTCTCACAGAAAATGCACTTTTTGCTTAATTATAGTTAATTGTTGCATTTTCGGTTTTAGGCCATGCAGCACCACGTGTTATGAGGAAAGTATTATTCTTTGAATTTAATAATAAAAAACGTTTCTAGATGATTGCAATAAAAAAATAGAAGTAGACATACTGTATCTGATCAATTAGATTAAATTGGTGTGAACTGTTTCGCATAAACCTGTATTGATTTGTATGGTGTTTGCATGTATTAATCGCGTATACTGCCCTATATTTTCTTTAGTGTGTTGTCACAATTTTATACAAAGTGTTTGCTAAATTGTCACGCTCCTTATTGGACATTGTAGCACAAGTAATTTTGAAAAAACTCCTTTAATAAACCGCATACCGACATCCCATAGATTAAAATCGACAGTACAAATACTAAAAGAATTAATTTATTGACAATACAGAAACCGATTGGAATATTTTAAGCAGCATTTCCAACATTTGAACGCTACTAATGTAGGTATGTTTGCAATAAAAATCTAAGTTTTAGATTTAACTGGAGCTGAATAAAGAAAATTTAAATCGATGTATTGAATGGCGGTATCGAGTTACCAATAGAAATATTTTACATGCGCTTTTAAGCGGACAAATAATTGGAGTGGACTGGAATTGTTACGTTTTTTTATCAACACCCTGTACATCAGAAACTAAGCATCTTCGGGATATGATATATTTACAAATTGTATCTGAAACTATATGTACCCCCTACAGGAAATGCTCACTCTTACCAAACACCCTTGTAGGTAAATATTTAAAATAATAATTTGTTTTGTGTTATGATTATTTGCTGGAAATCAGAGTTAGAAAATATACATACTTAATTCAATTCTTGTATTGGTGTTAGTGTAGTGTGTGTTACCTTTTCCCCAAAATTCCTTGATTTACCCTGTAAGCATGAAAATTAGGAAGTGTGTCATTAGAGTTTAGAACAAATCGGAGTAAAAAACTTACGTGTCTAGAACCAAGCAACATTTTCGCTTTATCTTCTTCTTGGGGCGCAGAACTGTCTTCGGAAGTGCCGGTGTTTCTTTTGATTTGCAATTTTTGTTTAATGGCCTAAAACGGTCTTTTAAAGTAGGATACTCTACTAGGAGCGATTAAACTTTTTTTAAAGTTTTCGCTCTTTTCACCTGGTCAGTTTTAAATTAGCTATGTAAAAAATTACCTGAGATAAGATAACTTTCTTGGTATCATTTCGAATCGCAATCAGCAAGTCCAGCCAAGTCCAAGTCATGTTGTGATATTCTAAAGTGGGGATAACAATAGACACATCTCTAAGATCCTCTAAGTTCTTTTCCTTGTTTCCTTTGTAACTGACTTTAACAGGCACTTCGGGTATTTTTGTAAACACAAACAATTTATTTTTCTCTGCTCTTTCCTAAAATGAGCATACAATTTAAAAGTTCACATCTTTTGTGGATGTTATTAGATTGGCTATTTATGCTTCCAATATTCTCATTCTTCTGCACTTATTAAGGGAAAGTACCTTCATTTTTTCTACATCATCAATATGAACATAGAAGTTTGAATCTCGGCTTTTCTTAGATTTTCCTTTTTTGGATTTCTGAAGTTCAGAATCGCCGTCTTCACTGGCTCTATCGTTGTAATCCAAAACCTCAGTATCCCTTTCAGGGAAGCAAAACTTCATCATGGTGTTGTAAAACTTCTTCGTTAAACCTGCAATTTATCGAAAATAATACATTTTTTTCCATTTTCAATTCATATATTTTTCACCTTTTATTACACTGTTTTTCTTTTGTATTTATTTAGAAATAGGTGCACTGATTGAATAAAATCTTGCATTAAAATTAACAAGTTGTATTCTACTTTAACGAAGAGACCAAAATGTTTAATTAATTACTTACCAATAGTCAAGGGTACTAAGTTGATTTCGAAATGCTCTTTAACGGATATACCACCTACAGGTGGTTTTTCTCTGCAAAATATTCTCAACACCTTCTAAAAAGAGGCAAATTGATCAAATTACACATTCATTCATGAATAATAAGCTGAGAACTTACTTTATGCTCAATGGGCATATCAAATTGAATTTCTGTTGGGCAAAGAATTTCCTTATAAATTTCATTGGGTAATAAATTAGTCATCCTGAGATACCCTAATTCCAGTAAATGTTCTACTGAATCATCAGACTTTGAGTTCTTTGTATACCTGAAAAATCAAAGTGAGATTTTTATCCGCTGAAAACAAACGAAATAAAACTTACAAAAAGTTACTTAATACCAAATCAGCAATACCAATTTGGCCATCTGCTTCAGTAAGCCTCCATTGGGCGTGTTTGAAACAGATTTCGTTCGCTCTCACTATCGTTAACGGTTTATCACTTCTAGTTGTTGCCATTCTGGAATTTGCCAACAGTTGGGTTTCTTTGTAACATGAAATCATCATATCTAGTTCTTCACTTTGTGCATTCAAATTCATTTTACAGTCGTGCATCTACAAATAACTACTAAAACAAACTAACATCTCAATGTGATTTAGTTACCAATCTTTCCAATCTCTCAAGTTCTACTCTTAAGTCCTTATCATCCGGATCGTCATCTAAAGCTTTATTTAACATGTAAGTATCTTTCTCTAAACGTCTCAGCTTGTTTATAGTATTTCGCACAATTGTCTGCTTCTCTTGAATGGGTCTTCGCTGATCTTCCACGCTGTGCAATTGCAACTGGAAACGCATTCTGGCTAGTTTTTCTAAAGCCTCTTTTCGGTGCGGTTCAACGTATAACAGAAGGTTGTTGATTATATCAAGAAGCATTCCATACTAAAAGTGATTTAAAAATGTTACTATAATTTTAATTATTCTGCTTACAGATGAATTTTGTGGTTTTGCCATTTAGTTACCTGTAGTGAATTAGTGCAAACATCTAAATCATAATGCATCAGCGTAAAAGCATCTACTCCAGATTCTCTACTATCCCAAAGGCTTACATCCTCCTGTGGTGGTGATGGAATTTCACCTATTCCTAAAATAAATTTAATTAAAAATTAATAGTTGAGGTACATTGTTCGTCTTACAAACAAAAAATGTAGACAAAACAAAGACTTAAAATGCTTGTTAGCTGAACTAAGGCCTTTTAAGAGTTTTATCCATTTTTTAAATTCCAATAACCAAAACTGAGACACCCTGCAATTCAATCAATTTTTCTTACCTTCGGGATCGACACTTATATCTCCATAGCTCGCATAATAAAATTCGCACTTACATCTGGAAACAATTCTTTGCAACTGCAACATACCAATTTCATTAAATTAAAGGCTCCTAAACAAAATATTGATATTGCAAAAATAATACGTACTTGTCTAGATGTGCTGGGCCCTACAGTATCACTAACTACTGCTCCCACTGAAACGCCACTGCCTACCATGTTGGGAACCTCTGATGGTTCCGATATTTCTGCCGACTCTTTTTCCTGGATATTATCCACAGTCAGCCACATGATATTTTCTGTTAAATATTAACATTTAATCAGAATAATATTTTTTTATATTTGGCATGTACCATTTGGGTCATTTTCTCCGGCGTTCACTGTAGCATAATACTGCATGCATTCCAAGAGTCCCGTCCAAGTGGTTTTTGATACGAGAGTTCTATCCTTCCAAGCCGGCCTATGGGCTCTTTGCAAAATTTCCGCTTTAGCCGCACTCAGAATTATATATCCATTAGTTTCACAGCCTTTGAGTAGAACTTGAGCATTCACAAGGGAAACTAATAACAGAATATTTTAGATTAGCAGCTCAAACGCTTTAAAGAAGAAACAATCATACTTTGCCAATTTTTGTGAATAACATCGTCCCCTTGGCAAGCTTGGACTCCTTGTAAGTGTTGCTGCCTTGATACAGCTGATAAATCATCACTGTATACTATAGAATTATTGTCTACTTCCGCAATCAATTGCTGTAGCATGTTTGCTGCATGTCCCGATTGTAGTTTACTGATAGGTGAGGGAGTATCCTGGACTGCAGAAGCCGCTTGAATACTCTACATTAAAATTAAAATCATATCAGTATTTTAAGTGCACATGAAACCTGAAACAATTACTTGAACTGCGTTATTTGGTGGTGTACTGGTGGGATCAGCACCGCGTTTTTTCATCGGCGTTGTATTTGTATCTTTCCTGAAACCCTTTAAAGCTTCTGTAGATAAGTTTTTCTTCATTCGCTGAAAACGACAATAACACACATACAATTATGGGAGATTAAAATTCATATTAATCGTTCAGAAGCGTGGAATATCATTTAGAATCAAAGCGATGTATGATTATATTTACCGTTGTTTTCATAAACGTATCAAATAAAGCCAAGGCAACGTTTCTATTGCTTTTCGTCCAGGCTCCTCTCAAGTCATAAACCACCAATCGATGAGTGGGAGTATCTTTAATGCGATCTGCGATCGACTGATTCGGCAAAACAGCTTCTCTACCATAAGATACCTTAAGCAAACAATCAAATTTTGATGATCCATTTTTATAATTTAAATTAATAACATACTTTTGCAACTGAGAGGCAATACGTTTTCTCAATAGGTTGTAATCGTGAAGTTTCGAACTCAGATTCATCTTGCAGCGCGCTTTTAAGCCAAATTTCCGAATCAGCGAGTTCTGAGTTCATGTACACTATGGACCATTCGGCTTTAGCTCTATGTGTTAGACCGTCATCAGTGGTAACTAACGTAAGAGAATGCTCTAAAAAATCAACAAAACCACATCAAAATAAATTGCGCTTATACCATTATAAATATGTAATTTAAAATTGATTATCTGAATATATTAAGCAATATTTGTGATATCAGTGACTGATATGCCTGCTATATCATGTGAAAAGAATAAAAAGTTTATAATAATTACCGGAACTAGATGCTAATCTTCCACCAAACATTTCGCACCCACGATGCATGGCAAATGACATCCAGTAGCAAACTTGAAATTTATGTAAACCAATCAGAAGGTTTATTTTTTTGTAATGGCGACTCAACTGTGTTTTCTTCGGTTTCAAATTTCCAAAAATCTTGCCCCTCCTTGTTGGTCTGGTCACTCCTGAATTTATGCCAATTAAACATTAGATCTTGAGGGATCTAACTTTCTACTCCGTTTATTGGAAAAATATATTTATACCTGACAATATAAGTTTCAAACTTTCAATCCATCGTAAAGTGCTTCCATAAAGTAAAAGAATCGGGCAATTGTTAAATTGATCGGAACCGGGAACGGTTTCCAAAACAATGCTCATATTGAGGCTCTGGGAGCGAAACGCTCTAAATGAGTCATGAACCTATAAAGAACCCGATCAACAAGTGTTAGTTCGAGTTTTACTTCAATGTTACCTACCTGGTTGCTCGAATATTCAGGAATTTTATCCGGGGCACAATAAATAACGTTGTGATGGTCGTTAGGATCGGCCAAGCAAACCCAATGAAAACCGAGAATAAGATTCAAATTTGGTAGCTTAAGCAATTGGACGTCGTCGTATTTCGAGGCAGTACGTACGAAAATGTTAAGGTCGCCTTTAAACACAATCTTAGCTGAAAATCGGAGAGTTTATTAATAAAATAGTTTCTTAGTTTTTTAGCAATGCTTGCCATTGGTCCAGTCCATAATTACTTTTTCCCATGTCAAAGCCATTTCTTCAGTGGTATTGTACGGATCCAAAGAAGCATGAAGAAGCACCTGCATTTTTTGAACTAGCATAGTTAGCCTTCCGTGCATGAGAAGCCTCATTTTGTCCCAGAAAGGCAGAGGAGGCGAAGGGTCTCTTGAGGGGGCACTGATTTGGTTGAAACCTTAAATTCATACTTTGCAAATGCGGTATTTCTGTAGCAATAAATAACTACAAAGTAAAATAAGGTACACTAAGTAATGCTCACTTAAATTACACTGCGCGATAACCGGCTCCCAACAAGGCCCAAATGCGTAGCTAAAGGATTCGATTTCGCAGTTTAAATCGTAATAAAACTTTAGCGGTTGCATTCCTCTTTCCACTTCGAACGGTTCAAAGGAATCGCCCAAATCTACCATCACAGTCCTTGTGGCTAAAAACATCCCTAATTAGTTGCCTGCCTTTTATTCGCAAAAACCTCTATAATCGGTTTATAGAAGAGTCTAATAATAAAAGGCAAATTGGAACAAGGAGGTGCAAGTCAAGAATGCCACTTTCGAATAAAAAAATCCTAACAAAGCGATGTTTTTCTGTCCGTTTTCGCATTTCAATATATTTCCCTTTTATCGATGTTTTAAATCAAAATAAACACTTTCAGACCGCTAAATAGAAAACAATTAAAATATTTCAACTTTTTGGACCACCTTGAATGCAACATTTAAGTATGAATTAGGTACTAATTTATACTAAAATCAAATTTATTGATTGTTAAGATGACCAAATTAAACAGACGTAACAATTAAGTTATTATTGGTTGAATGCCATGTCCAGTGACAAATATCATCATGCCTTTGCAAATGATATAATAAGTACATCAGGTAGCAGCAATAAAGATTGAAGATATGGCATTTCCTGACCATTTATAAAATTACGATTCGATATCGCGCGTCCAGTTTCATAATTATATTCTAGTTAGTTAAGCAGAGGCTTTTACGCTCTTGGTCTAACATGTATTTTGGACCTATTTTGCTTGTCTTGGCAATTGTTAGTAGCGCTCAATACGGTATTTGTGGCGAAAATAGCGACAATGAAGAACGGGTAAGATATTTATTGCAAGCAATTATGGCTTGTAACAAAGAAATATACATTTATTTGTTTTGAAGTTTGCTGTAATCCAATGCATGGGCATCTATAGTGTAGATAATACATAATTTATTTACAAAATAAATTAAACGATAAATGTATGACATTTACAAGTTAAATTTGATTTCTTATAATAAATAATACTTGGCGGGATACAATAAATGTAAAAATAATAAGTTAGTTAGTATTTTAAATAGTTTTTAACAAACAGATGCTACCAAACTTCAAGACTATTTTAGGGAAATGTTAAAGAATCCATCGGGTGACTTGTTCCGTGCCATTCTTTTAATTGTATATACTTTCCTGACTGTGTTTCAATTCAAAATAAAATCTATTCCTGGGTTTCAGTCATTTATTATCTCTATTTTCTAACTTTGATTAATAAATAGAGACAATAAAAGACTGAAATCCAGGAATAGATTTGATTTTGAATTCTTTTTAATGGTAGGTAGTTTGGAGGCAATTTAACACGGGATTTGCATGCGTATATTGATAGTTCTAAAAATGTGGACATATTGTGTAGGTATATTTTAATTAAATGTGATTGATATCATCTAATAACATTGGATCTATCGGGAAACTAACACGCCAGCATGTTCTGTATCAGTGTAAAGAAAAAATAATTAAATGGTCAATAAGTTTGCAAGAAGCAAGGTATGTACAGTTCCGCAGAAGCTAATCTGTAAAAACAACTTCATTTGCTCAATTTTAGGTCAAAAGAACGGCCCTTCCTCAAATACCATCAGTACCTGCAATTCCACCAATTCCACAGTTTAATCAAGCTGATATGATTATTAAAGCGGCCCAGGAAGCTTGGAAAATAATTCAGCAGATTCCAAGACCTCCTTGAATGAGAATACAATTCACATAAAATCGATCAATCGCAAAACTGTTTGCAATTATTAATCTAGCGAATAAATGATAATGAAATGTGACTTTCTTTAAATTGTTTTCAGGTTTCGCCTATTCAACGGAAGAAAAATTAGTTGTCGCAACAAGACACTATTCTCATAGAAAAGCCACTATTTAATGCGTTGTAAATTATTAAAGAAGCAATGTGTAATCACGCAAACGCCACTATTATAACAAGATATTTATGGAAGCGGTTCAAGAGGACTTAGTGAAATATTCCGCTTAGAACTACATTAAAATGGCTTGAAATCGAAAACGCACATTTTTAATAACCGGCTGTAATTAGCGCAATTACAATATGTTTATGAGTTAGCGCTCGATTTGTAGTTGGAAACAAAATTAAGTGCCTCCAAATATATTCCGAAAAGTTCGTAGTTACTGAAATCATTCTAAGGATGCATCCATTTCCATACGAAAATAATACAATAATTACATCCGAAGTAAATATGTTTGGTAGTAAAATAAATTCGTGATAATAAAGAACCATAAGATAATTAATTTAAATCACTGAAATTTACGAAGCTATTGACTGTTTTCCTCAATAGGGAATGAACTTTAATCTCAAACACTAATTTTCAGGGATTATCGACAATAAGAAAGTCTCAAAATCTGTCTCTACTGGACGACGCTATGTCAACTGCAATGGATTGGATTTTCAATATTATTGGTTTAATAATGGACACTCTCGATTCGTTTGGCATTGGAAGACGAAGACGCTCGCTAACATATACACATCAATTTCCAGAGTACCTTAAAAACTAAGCGAATGTGTATGTTGTAAAGTTATTACTTCAAATATACCAGTACATAAATACTCCATTCGCTTAAATAATCGCCAGAGAAAGAGAAATATTCCTCAAGACAAATAAAACTATTACCTCTTTTGGGAGCTACTTGTTCCGCCACACCGAGTTTTCCAAATAAATAAATTTTCTTGATCTCTAGCAATGGCTGCGGAAAGTCTCTTAACTGAAATTTCCATTCTTCACAACCCAGAATGATGTCTCTGCAGAAGGATGTTGAAAATTCCAGATCTACGTCTGGCAATGGACTATCTTTGTCTAAGCTTATCATCAAGTTTATGAGTAATAAGTATTCAGAAATATGGACTACATCATAATTTTCCATCATTACCTATAATTAAAATCCTTAAAAGTTGTAAAAAGTATTGCACAAGACAAGGCGATAATTAACAATTTAATAAAAAAATATATTACCGAGCATTCAATATTGGTCATGTTCCAAGCAAACAATCTGGTCCGTTGAGGGGCTGCTTGATACATCAATTTTGATCTTTGAATGTAAATATCCGCATTTCTTTTTTTCAAAGTTGCATATAGTTCTTCCACTTTTCCCGCTGGCATGTGTAGATGCGTCTTTAACAGTTCTGCAATCTAAATTCAATGTTGCTGGAAAAACTTTACCATCCTCAAATTTCACAATGCTTACTTTCTCTTTCAATACTTTTTGCCTCTTTAGGCTCTCACTAAACTCGTCTTCCAGTAATTCAAAATTATCTCGTAATTTGATTTCAAATGGATCATCACTCATTTCAAAAAGAAAGTCTTTTACCTAAAAAATGCAAATGTCTTCCAAATAATAGAAAGGTTTTAACTGATGTTAATCTTTCAATTCAAATACTGGTGGTAAAAAAAGTAGTCGTAATACTTACTTTTACAAACCAGTCTGGCGGACATGTTTTGGTACGTAAAGTATCTTTATGTATAATTTTTAACCATTTAACAATCGATAAAAATTGATTCTGTACAGCTTCAGCATAATTATGTTCATGAGGAAATACAGCCTGAAAGTATGAAAAAAATATATCTTTAAATCTCACACAATACTTATTCACTTACCTTAAAAGCATCAATTTCCAGTAAATAACTACAATCGTTGAATCCTTCTGATAGTCCAGCCATCTTTTTATCGAAAAGAAACTTTTGCGCTTGCAATTGGTCTTTAAATAAGCGCTTCATTAAAATTCCTTTTAGTTCGAAAATATCTGCGCCATCAATCGCTACGGTAAGTGTCTTTAAGATATGATTGGTTTTTTTGCGCTCCTGGGAAGCGTGAGAGCTATTTGAAAATAATAATTCATCTGCAAATGTAATTATTCGGAAGATTATTAAAAATATGTTAATGTGAAAATACGGCAGATCTCACCCAAAACAATTTTCATGTTATGGTCCTTACTAATATCAATATGAAGTTCAAATTTCCTACAAATTGTGAAATTTATTACTTTGGCAGGCAATGTAGAATAATCCACTATCACTGGTTTTTTCTTTAATTTGTCCGAGGATTCCGTAATTTGTTTAATAAATTCTTGCAAGTCTCTAAAAGAGATAACGAGTTGAAACATAATTATATAATGAGCAATAAACTACTTTTACCTGTAGAGAAGTAAACATTTTAAATGAAAATTAGTAGACCAATAAACTCTATTATTTTCACTTAACGATATGTTATATTCTAGACTGTCGTCAGTTTTTGAAAATTCTAGTTCTGCATTTTTTACATAAACTTTGTGTTTTATAATATCCTCAGTTCGGATACAAGTATAATAACCTCCTGTGTTGAACAAGGTAAATATCTTCAACTCATCAAGCTTGAAAGTCCATAGATTGCCTTGATTATCCAGATTAACCGTATCCAATCGTGACACAAAATATTCTGAAGAATTCTCTATTAATTGGAGCTACTAAGAGTGATTCAAATATATTTAAAATTAGCGCTTACCATTATGTTGAGACTGGAAAAAGCAATCGAAATGATAAATAACAACACTTGTGATTATTTTAGACTTGCTTTGGGGTTTTGATGGTTGCGAATTTAAAATAGTTTTAAATTGAATCTCATAACTCCTAATAAAACTGCAAAAAATAACTTGTATCAAAACAAATTTGCGGTTTTTAAAAAACTTACTTCAATGCTAGTAATATGTAATCAGCCAGTTTTGCAGACCATTCTAATTGTACAGTGTCTAACATAGCATACAGCTTGAATTCTTTGTTTTCAGACGTACAAAACTTGATCAGGCTCATTCCTACATATACTGGAGTGTCCCATAGATGCATGACCTAAGAAATATTTATAATACGTACATTTGTTTTAAATTCCTCTAATAGAGTATTTAATAATAAAACATATAGCACACCTTTGATATATTACTGCTATAATTCCACTCTTTAAAAGACCAACACAGAGACTCAATGAGGAGCTCAGATTGCCAGTGTCTATCACCAAGAAGTACATTAGCTAGGAGGGAATCATACTTAGTACCTTAAAAATGAGTAAAAATACGTACATTCAACCAGTGATGAACTTTATAATCACTATAAGGTGTTTATAATTATACTGCACAAACGGAAGGTTTTTCTTTACCTTATTTTATCGTTTATATTGGAATGTCCTATGGTATTGAGAATCTACAGGGTGGTTTTTGGAGGGTCATTTTCTTATTAATCTGTATTTTTTTGGCATGTATCACTTGTGAATTGCAAATTATAAAATTAAATGTCCATTTTTTCCTTAAACTGTCTGTTCTCTCTTGCCTTGTACGCGTCAGCGGCCTTTTGGACCAGAGTTAGTTTAGTAGACTCACTGATAAAGAAGCTAATAATTTGTTTAAGTTGACAAATTAGTAAGATTAAGTGTTTACTGCTATTAAAAGCAAAAAACTAAAAATTCAAAAACCCACAAGAGGTTAAAAAACAAAAAAAAAACCTCAAGAGGTGAACATTTCTTTACAATTGCCAAAAAAGGCAGTAACTTCTAAAAAAACATCTCCCTGTAGAATCCACAACCTTTTTGGTACACCAAATTATGTAAATAAAAAACGCACATAATTGCCCCAAATAACAATTTCAGGAGCTGAAACAAAACATTTTAACAGTTTTTTGCCTTGAAAGTGCAACACCCGAAACGGAGTCTTTTTAATCATAAAAAGCTGACTAATTCCTTCGGTTTGTGTCAATATTTAGAAACACCTTGAATATGTATTATCTTTATTTAATTCTCTATTTAGTTCAAATTATTATGGAAACATACTTTTGCGTTCCTGAACTTGATCTAGCATCAGACGAAGTCGATTAACTCCAATGGACGATGAGAGACCTGCCTTTAATATGACCACAAAAACAACATTAGAAAGTTCTGCGCAAAAATTGATGGAGATGTTTTTCAACAGTTCTTCCAACATGTAGTATTGTATTAAATAATCAGTTTTTCCTGGCTGTGTTTGTTTGTTTCCTTGGCGTTTCGATTGGGGCATCCATAAATTGCGCTTTATCCAATTAAAGATCACGGAGTGATTGTATGTTATTAACAAACTGTTTTGTTGCAGGTAAATATTCAATACGTCATTTTTAAACTAAAAGAGACAACATCATAAGAGCGGTAAAACGGAAACCGTCGCACATACAAGCAAAAATTCCTTCACATGGTTAATTTAACGTAGTTAATAAGCAAAGCAGTATTATTGTACTTAGAATACCTTTGCATCTATGCTGACGTTTTTCAATTCGGCGACTTTTTCGTGGTTATTATACAAAGCGAAATCGTTCAAATAAAAATTAAACAACATCCCGTTTGTTGTAGCAGGGGATACAGATCTATAATTCATCGATAGTGACTTTAAAGCAGCCGTACCTTCAATGTCCTCACTTGTATTATATCCTTTAAATGAAGTATCATCTATTTGCAGAGAGAAATTCTAAAATGTTTGAATCAACAAATATACTTTAACTGATAGTTACTAATTATAAAATACCTTTGGAACAATTGGCAAAATGTATTTCAAAAAATCGTTATTTGGATTTGGATCAGTGGGCTCCAGATTTTGTTGAAGGTATTGTTGAAGTTCAGCAAAACTTTTACTCTCAAAAGTCCTTGTAGAATACGGGCTCCAGCTTTGATCCGAATTAATTGCAGTTGGCAAAGATTCTATTACTGTTCTATATTTTTCATCCGGTCCATGTAGCAACTGATAAAATCCATTTTTAATTGAGGCTTTGCTGTGAGACATTTTGATTTCCAATTTCTAAAAAAATATATAGAGAGTCGGTTAATTAGAAACGATTGGCAATTTTATGAGTCCAGTTTAAAGTTGATATGGAAATATTTATGGTACTACCACCAACTTCTAGTCATTTTGGAATTGTTATAAGAAACGAGTTTTAGGAATGTTTAGGAATAAGTACTTACTTCGACAGATAGCGGACCCTGTGCAACCAATACAGTTTCCATTGTAATTCCGAACGAAAATGCGGCAACTTTTGTTTTATGTTGGTTAAGAGAATTACTTTTAAGTACACTCATAAAGGCATCGGTTACGTTCAAGGTAGCTAATAGCGACTTGGCGTTCTTCAGTATACTTCCATCAATATGTAGATCTTTAAGCCAAACTTCCAATATACATTCAGTGTTGAGTTGTACAAACGCTTTGATATTATAAACGTGGACAGCCATAAACTTGATATATAAAAAAAGATAGAATTATAATTTTTTTGAGTATAATTATCTATAAATGTAATAAAAATCACAAGGATGCATTTGATGATTCCTCATGAAAAATTAATGGTAGTTTGCTTTTCAACTTTGAATCGAAAATATTTCCTGATAAAAAATTTAGATATGAAAGTTATGTTTGAATTATTCGCTCAATTTGGAAGATAAATAAACTCTTGGGTTTTATTTTTATTTATTCAAGTATCTAACAATTTACTCCTCATATTCCTTGCAGAATGTTTTTCGATGTACGTGCCCAGACAGGATCAATAGAACCATGGTTTAAAAATACGGTGCATTGTAGGAAAAACTCAGAATTGTATTTCAAATTTACGAACGATTCTAGAATTATTTTTATTTGAGGAAAAAACATTGAGATACATAGTTTTTTAATTTAAAGCCACTGTCCGTTGGCGAGCCATAAAACGAGAAAAAGTATATTTGCCTAATTAACATTTCTTTAACTATAAACTGTCTAAATGCGAAACAGCGAACAGCTGAAACATCTCAAGCGGTTTCCAGAATATCAATGTTTCATTTTCTCCCTAAATCCTATAAAACCAGCTTTTATTATTTTCCATGTAGAATTTTTTCCAATCTTCGACCCCAAAACCACATTCGTATCTATAAAAAGCCCCTAATTGCGCCCTTGAAATACTTCTTACCTGTGCTAAAGTGTTGATAAAGTTTGGTACTTTTTTATTCCTAAAGTCAGAAATATTCGTTTCGTTTCTTTTCGTTCTCCTCTCATTTGACGATTTTTCGT